GAAAAGGTACGTTTATTCGGATTATGCAAGAATCATTCGAGACTTTCGTTCGAAGATTCTATGTAAAAGATTACCGGTGCCATTCGATGTTGCATTACTTTGAAGTGTTTTGCAATTAATTCGATCGTAAAATATCTATTTATAATCTGGCTGTATTAAATGCGACAGTGTAATGGCACTATTGTGCGTAATTATAATCAAGATGAAAATATATCGTTTGATCAAAGGAAGCATTGTGCGGTGATGTATGCGTATGCCTCCTTTAACATTCATAGGAAAACTGCGGGAAAGTATGTGGTAAAATTCTTGTTAGGAAACATGAAAAGCACGAGATGTAGGATAAAAGCTTAGTTTGCTTAGTTGATGCCATCTAACATGTCAAGTCCATCGATCTTTTATATATTTATTTATTTTTGTTTATTATTATTAATTTATTTGACAATAAAGCAAGCGCGATCGACTTTTACATTATACGAGCGATACTATTGAAAGTCCGCGGTAAGAGAAGTCGAAGTAATATTGCGTGACACAATAACGCGCAAATAACGTAGGAGAGTGTTGGACGGTTCTTTCTCGTAGAAATCAAGCGGCAGCAAAGTGTCCGGCGCGAGAGTGACGGAATTGGAAAAAGTGATGTGGCAATGAGAAGAAGAGAACGATGGGGGGGGGGGGCTTCTCGGCCCGGAGGCACCATCGTTTTTGCAGACGTAAACTACTGTAAGATCACATAGCAGCAAGGATGGCTTTCGGCTTTCTACATCCTCCAAACTAATAGCGCATATTCAGCAATAGGCGAGGCGAACCTTTCTCGTGGATGATGTTTGGCTCTCGTGTATCAAGTAATTGATTGTAATGATCGATTAATGAGACGAGGGCTTCCTCCTCCTGCCCCTCACCATCCACAACCTCCAGTCCCCAGCCAACTAATCCCAACCGATGAATAGCACCTAGCCGTCATCCGTATCTTCATCTTCTCCTTTTCCTTTACTTCTCCTCCACCTTCTTCTCCTCCTCCTCCTCCTAATTCCTATCACGTATCGCTATCCCTATATGACTTGGGCGTGCAGCAGGTTAGAGAATGATAGCGCGCCGAGACCAGCCGAGGGGAATCTCGTTAAGCGGTGACTCTCTTGTTTTGACTTGCTTCGAGGAAGCACGGATTCTCCGTGATTTTTATGTTTTTTAAAGTTTAAAGGAAGCCAGACGTGATCGGCAGAGCTGGAGGACTACTGAACCGTGGATGAGTGATCTCGGCCGAGAGCGTCTGGTGATTCGGACTTGGATGTTCGTGTTCGAGTGCGGAGAACAATGGACGCCTTATGGTGTGAAAATTCTTTAAATTTTTCATGATCGTATGATTTTTTCATTTTCTGCTTGATTCGTATGGAAAATACGAATAATAAAATTTAATTAGTCAGTTGGGCCTGGAGGAGCGGCGATACGTCAATTCGAGCAACTTCTTGTCGAAAATTGGTCGAACTTGGATAGGAGCGCCAAGTCGACTTTTATTCTATTCCAAGTCTTTGTGCGCCAGTTAATTTTAACCGCAAATCGCCGAGCTCCGATAAAATCATACGCCAACTATCTATCAGAAACTGGTTTTCGTACTTGAAGCGTAGTCGCCATTTTTACCATGAAAAGCATTAAAATCAATAATAAATTTAAATACAGCGTGTCTATTCATTGAGCATATAGTAGTTGGAATGCGCCCAAGTGGAAAATATTAAAAATATTAGAAATGCGTTATCAGATCCACGGTGATGGGATGATAAGCATCTTGAAATTGCAAATTAAGTTTGGATTTTAGATTAGCTTGCACAGTTAGCTGATTTAATTTCGATGACAATGATGGCTCATTTTGAGAAGGAAAGTAGGTAGAAAAATATTTACATTCAAATATATTCGCTTTAATTGCCGATCGTTGATCTCAAATTTATACAAAGTTATTGTTAAGAGTGCCGCAACTTTTCCACATAATTCTTCAACGAAAAGCCTAATTGCAATTAAAAAAAATTATAAATATTAGGAAAATTGCACTCGTTAACCTTTTTTTACGTACTTTTAAAAATTTATTCAAACTCATGAACGAGTACGCGCATTTTCCATAAAAATCTACTACTTAAGTACGCAACTACAACAGCACTTATGTCACACATAATTAAACTAAATAATAAAGCGAAGCACGATTTAGCTAAACCAGATAAGTAGATGGAATTTGCCGTTAGTAATAGTTTAAACGTACATTGAGTGCACTTGAACTGTAAAAATTAATGGAATTAAAAAAAATAATGGGTGAGCTAGTGTTTGAGAACTTTTATATTTTTAAATTTATTATAATTTTTTATTAAACGCTCGTTGGGAGTATCGTGTATCATTATTTATCGTTATATTTATTACTCTTTATATTTCAACGAATAGATCATTAATTTCTTACGTAAAAGTAAGCCGCCACTTGGTAGTGAATTCAAGAATTAAAGCATTAAAATAATTAAGGCCTAGTTTTAATTTCGTTGCCATTTATCTTCACAAAATTCTCAAGGAAAACTTCTTTGGAAGAAATTTTCTAGCCCACTATTTTTTATCTGTACAGATTTTTACATTTTCTCTATCACAATAAATATATATTATTACACAGTGGTATAATAAAGAGTTGACGCGCGTATTTTACTCTCGCGATATTTACTCACAATAGGGATGATGGGGGTTATGGGGGTTGCATGCGTTATGGGAAATGACATGGGAATGAGAACGGAGCGTGAGGAGAAGGAGGAGGAAGAGGAGGGATAGGGGTATCGGGGGAGGAGGAATATTGAAAATCGAGAGAAAGAAAAAGTCGAGCGAAAATATTCTCTTTCTCTTGTTCTCGCCGTTCGCTTCAACGTCATACAATACACCGCGTATCAAATATCTCATATTTTATATTTATGATTTTATACTTTTATAATCCCGAGCATGATCTTAAGTGCCATATTGTGTGAATCGATCGACGAACAATAAGTTTGGTATAAATCAATCAATCCCTTACCCTCTTCGTTGTTCATCGTATAACCCGTTTTGCATCCTTAGCCTGCGTACTCGCGAAAAATAAAGGATGGAGGGGCTCTCCGAGAGCGCCCCAAGGTCAAGCGGCGCCTACTCGTAGTTGCGCTGCGCGAGGGCCTCGAAAGACCGGCAGCGCTCTCGTCGACGAGCGTCCACAGGAATTAATCGGCTGCATACGCTCGTCTCCTTGGCGACAAGTGCACGGCGTCCAGTTTTTCATGACTGACTCTTCTTTTTATCCACGGTCTCCAGCTTCCAGGATCATAAGATGCTTCGCGAGTAGCCTCGGGATTTTATTGTGAGCCTCGCCTCACTTCTCCCCTACCCAGCCCTACCATCGCCACAATCTCGATCACTATCACCAGCACTACCAATCACCGGGGGCGGCTCGCCATTCAACCTATCTACAGAGCCCGAGAGCCGCGCAATTTGCGGAAAATTACTCTCTCGGGAGTTAGGAAAAGAAGTGGTGGTGGTGGTGGTGGGGGGGGGGGGTTGTTTAAAAAGAATGAAAATATTTTAGTAGGCTCGTTTATTACAACAAAATTTTATTTATAAGCTGATTTTCCGTATTCAATTTCTCGCACGATCGATTGATTTTTAAAGGGAGACGGTGCGCTGAATATGCATGTGGCCGCTCCATTTACGAAGGAGATTTGCAATCAGAAGCGCCTCCCCTACCTCTCGCATTATTATCGCGGCTAATAGCTTAAAAACTCCGACATTCAACTCAACGTCGAATTTTATTATACTCCGTCTCGCCCCAAGCCTCCCTCCGAGTATCCCCGAGTACCATGAAAAAAAGCAAACAAAACAAAAAAAGAAAAAGAGAAAAGAAACGACGCGGAGCACGAGCGCCTGGATGTGGCGAGCCTCAACAAAGCGAATCACATGGAAAAACACAACATCGCGTCAATCAAAGAAATTATTATGACGCTAAATTAGCTTAACCATCAATTTTTGATAATTAATGGGTGGCTGGCTAGTTTATGCTCGGATTCGCGATTTGTGAGCCAACGATAATTAACTTTCTGTCGAGCTGTAGGAGCGAGCATTGAATTGAAACCGATACTGATTTCAAATTTAATTAGTATATTGTTGAGCGTACGCTTCTTCATAATCTTTTATCGCAAAGTCGAACAGCCGAGATTTTCAAATAATACTCATTTTGCTGTCCCTGGTAACGGGTATGGTTAATCAGGGCACGTTTTACTTTTCCTTCACAATAAACATCCTTCAAGTGCACAAACAGAATTTGAAAATAATCAGCGTACGCGCGCGGCGATCATTTATACTTTGTGATGCTACGAGTAACATACTTTTCACATGCATCGGCGGGATTATTATTGATTGGTATAGAGTGTATTGATAAGCATTGTCTTCTCGTGTCGTCGGTCGCCCCATAGAGTCTACCCACCCAGCCATGGCTGCCGATTAAGGAATTCCTACAAGCCGGAGCAAAATCCAGATCGGAAAGCAGCATCCTTTTAAAAAAAGGCACGACAAATGGCAAAAATTTCTTTACAATAGGAGATTGGGAAGGGGGCTCCGGGCTGCCATTGGTTAACATTCCAGTGATCGGGTGCACAATAGAGCAAAGCTGGGCGATCGCGATGCAGCCGACAACGAGAAACACGCAGTTTAAGACGCGGAGCGAAGAGGACCGACGACAAGGTCGCTTATCCGGAGTACAGCCACCGCGGTTCTCTTTCTCTTCTTTGTGCTCTTCTAATTGGCCTTATTAACCCGGACAATTGCTACGGCAGCCGTGCGCCGCATGGCAATTACTCCTCTTATCTTTTCTTGCCGAGAGCCTTCATCCCTTTGAATTTATAGAATTCGTTCTGATGCAGCCGCGCGACAGTCGCTCGCTCGCTCGCGATTAATAGGGGTCGGAGGGGTGGGCGGGTGGAATGGGCCGTGATCTTTCATAGCAACACTTTGTTACGGACACTTACCTTGGCCTCCAGCCTGTCATTGTCGTGCTTCAGGTGGTTGCGCTCCTGTTCCAGACGATCGAGTTTGGCTCGCAGCACCTCCAGTTCCTCCTACAAGGAATGCCAAATAACAATTTTTTTATTCCGTCTTTGGCAAGAGTTTCTCTTGCTCGATGCAAAAAATTGCGATATCAATACCGCGTAACTTAACTGCTACGCTGACGTGATTATGGCAATTGGAGTTACCAGCCCGCTCGAACGTAATATTCGCTTATAGGAGTGGCTGATCTCCGCGAATCGACATTTTGTTCGTTTCAGAGTATCGATGACATTGACTGTCAAGCTTTTTACAGTTAAGAAAGAAAAAATTGAAGCAAAAAAGTAGATGAAAAAAAAAGCAGAGAGAAGAGAGAATTTTTCTAACTTTGTGTTGTCTTAATCATCGAGGGGGAGAATAATATTGGAGAATTATTTGTTTAACGATTGATATTGACATCTTTTTATCAACGAGCTTATAAATATAAATATATTGATTCGTTAAATTGTACTTTCATAAATCGACCGAATGACAAATTTCACTCCTACTCTTATTACATTTTTTCCCATATTAATTGTCACTGAGTTGATTACCAATAACTTTTCCCCATAATCCCGGTAATTTCGATATATGCACTTGCAAATAGAAACGCCGATCTATAACGAAACCAAAAATTACCCACTGTAAGAGATCTACGACGATCACTCGTCAATCGTACGATGAAAAAGCATAGTGGGGGCCACCGGTTAATAGAATTCGGTGAAATTGAGAAATATCGAGCTGTTGATATTACGATATTGAATATCGCCAGATTTCACAATACTCGAGTATTCACCGACTCTCTTGGCGCTCGACACAAACTACCAAGGAGCTAAATGTTGATTTAAAATAAATTACTATATTTGTTATGTAAACGAGATCAGAAATACCGTTAAAAACGCAAATCGGCTAAATGAAAATTTATTCCAGGATGAGAAGCGATATAGAAGGCCCTGCGGCCATGAAAAAGAGCAAGCGCATCAGGGCACACGCGGGGGCTGACGGGCAATTTTATTATCAGTCAAGCCATAAGCACGAATACGGAATGCTCTACGTGCGATAATTCCGCTAACGCGAGTGCGCGCCCAATGTATATTATTACAACGTTAATAAGTGCTCAGCGCCTGCATTTACGACATGAAAGCAACGTTTGCGTCTGCGTTTGCGTCTGCATCTACGTACGAGTTGACTCATCCTCGGTTCTCCATCGTCTCAATCTGTTGCAATAAAAAGATGCAGACGCATGAAAGCTCATAGAAGAGCAAAGGAGAAGTCGACGATTCGATTTCCCGGCGCCTACTGCCTTAATTCTTTTCGTTTTCTCTTCGTTACGACTGATGCGCATTAATTGCACCATTGCTGAGGATGATTGGAGCATCTGACCTACCTAAACCCTATCCCCTACCCCCGCTTCATCGTTTAATCCGCGTGGTTAGGAAAAGCCTTCGTTATTTAAAAGGGATGTCGTTTTAGCACTTATCAGCGGCTCAGATAGCAATGAAAATGGAGCTTCCTCATAAACGACGTTAAAAAGGCAAATTAATTTTAATTGTGCCATGACGAATAGAAAATTAAAGCCCATGTGCATTGAAAATTCACGAGATAACGTAAACGAATCATTATTTATTAATAGAAATGAAAAGAAATTTGACATAACGGACAACATTCGATTACTTTTTGCCAACATGTGCTTAGGAATTTGGCCAATTTTTATTAGGATGGCGTAACAATCTTAGAGGCGAAAGAAACGAAAAAAATTACTACATCCATTACGAATGTTTTTTTAAAACAAATCAATATATTAATTAAGTATTTCTTTACTAATGCCTATCTATTACCATTAATTGCACGAACTGTAATTGACATCTACAATAACTTTATACTTAATTGATACATACAATAATATGAATTATTTCCAAGTAAAAAAAATCAATATAATAAATTTACAGTTTTCAATTACCCAATAATTAATCACGCAGACCGTATTAAATGCATAAAATGAATTTTAAAAACGAATAAAAAAAATAAACAAAAACAAAAAACTATTTTCAATTCATTAATTTCATCTTCGCAAAATATATTTGTTTTTTAAATCGTGACTTGCGCAATAATAAGTATATTAATTTACTATTCTATTATTACAATATTATCAGCTATTATCGATTAAATTTGCTTGAAAAAGCGATAATTTTCTTTTTGGTATATCATTATTACGAAAGGTTCCTACAAATTGACTTTATATTATGAATAAATCGTGTGATGTTTTATGTAAAACCTTATTGGTCGAATTGTGACTCAAACGTTTTCCTCATCTAAAGTATAAATTGTATACTCGTAAAATTACAAACTAACGAGTAACGTAAGCTTCAATGCTGCTATTTTTCGGGCCTTTTAAACGATAAAATCGAATAAATACTCGTGACGTTGAATTCACAGTTACACTTATCATAATCGCAAAATTGAGAATTTATTAAATAAGAAGCGTGCAATAGCTACTCTGAATATTATGAAAGCTTAACGCGACATCAAATAATCAAACAACGAAACCTTTCAAGATCGACATGAAGCTAATTACTTGCTTCATTTATTTATTTCTTGCATCCAGAGACAGACAGACAGACAGAGAGAGAGAGAGAGAGAGAGAGAGAGAGAGAGAGAGAGAGAGAGAGAGAGAGAGAGAGAGAAATACACGAGACTCCCCTTTCTTCTTTATCAACTAATTATCGTTTTCTTACCAGCATTATTCGAAATGAAATTGCCAAGGAAGTAATTTAAAAAAAAAAAATCCCCATCTAAACGACAAGTGTTCCATTAAAGTCACCGTAAATAACTCCCGAATTTATAGCCTTGCGAAACAATCGCCAATGGATCGTCAACTTCTCCGAAACCAATGACCTCCTGTGCAGTTCCAGTTTCTCCCGTAGTAGTGACGCTACTCGACCAAAATTGAATCTGGGCCAAAGCCTCGGGTGGTAGTGTCAGGGGGCGAAGATGGTGGGGATCCGAGAAGGTAAACCGAGACTCAAAAAATCAATTGCTCGCGACGACCCGCTGATTCTTACCGGTGAATTATTTGGCAAGACCACGTAAACGTAAACGTACTCTTACGCGCATTCATTGTGCATTGGGGTTGAAAAACTTGTCCTTCGATATTATTGGGGACCGTTATAATATATTTATTCAGCGATCGCGGTCGAAATGTCAAGAGGCCGTTGAATTATGTTTTGATGAAAACAAATTTCGCATTACATAGTCTATTTTAAATACGTTCGAGATTATCCGGGTTTTAAGTATCTAACATTTAGCAACCCTGAATTAAATACAGGACAATGTTTCAAAAATGACTACTCTTCTCTAACGTGTGAATATTTAACAAATTACCATTAACAAAAACAAAAATAAAAAAATTAATTATTGCAAAATTCTTTTATTGGCTTTATTTCATAAATAGCGTTGGACTATGACAAAGGGTACTCGAATGACAATTGCCGATGGCTTTTGTATTATGCAAACGATGTAAAAGGAATTTTAATGCTCATTGCCGCCGATTCTGCTGGCTCTAAATTACGATATTACAGCATGAAAATCTTGCTCCGCTTAAGCGTTGCACAAGAACCAGCTGCATTTAGGCTAATTAACGAGGTAATTTATATTTAGAGGGAATATTTATATGTGTGGATGGTCAATGGGATATTACTTTATCCTCGTTTGTATTTTTACGAGCAATTTCACTTGTTTGTGCGAGCCTTTCGTACTGTTCTCCTGTAATGGGCTTTCTGTTCATGTTAAATAAGTCGTTAAATAAGTATATTCTCCTCGATGTAATTTTAACATAAGCCATAAAAAAAATTATTTTTTTTTATAAATATGAGCTTAACTAATTGACATGCGCCACTTATGTTTACCTCCCAAAATCATTAAGAAAATGTAATAATTCATATTCGAAGTTGAAAACATGTTGAATAAATTATTTATAAATCAAGAAATAAAGTAAGGGCCATCATAATATTTGAAAGGTATTTTATATATTTTCTTCGCACGAGATGCTCGGAAACAGATTATTAATTGGCCACTTTGTCATTCAATTAGTAATTAAATCAATGTGTGGTAATAAAGGAGATTTCCTAAATAGAACTAATGTATCCGCCCATATTTTACCAACATGTACGAACTCTAGCGCGACTAATTAAAATTAATTAGGCCACATCGCCGATGAAATTTCATGAAAATCGATGTTGCTTGAGAATATTGACAGTGTCGAAATAAATCATTGATTGACGATTCTTATTATTATGTCAATATCATACGTGCGATCACGTTTCTCCTCGCAAAAAAATATACTTGAATTTACCCCTTCACAAAATTGACATAATCACCTTATTATACCATTATAACAAATATGATTATGGAAATTAACTAAAACACAACATTTGGCTTTATTCGTTCGAACGGCAGTTACATAATGAAATGACAAATCTCCTTTACACTCCAAATGTCATAATACATTATTAAATGTACGTGATATTGTTATTGATATTGTTACTACGATCGTTATTGTAGAAAAAAATGATGACATATCTGTATTTCGAACAAGTCCAAGTCATGATTTCCGATTAATTTTTTGCCATAAAGAAAAGGTGAAATGTGATAATGATAGCAAGATGACGAGAATTTCCGCTCATTTCGTTCAAAAACATACACCTGCAGTGCGGCCAATATTTTGCACATTATGTCGATAAAATACCACCTACGAGTGCGATATGTTGTTAAGTCTTAAAAAAAAAAAAAAAAAAAAAAAAAAAAAAAAAAAAAAATAGTGCCAATCAAACGCATTATATCCCTTTCACTCTGCGATATGTAAATCACGATCACGTGCTATCGCACTGTAAACAAGTGAATTCGCGCATTTGGAACAACTCGCGGCAGGAGCACTCGCGGAAGCGTGAAAGGCCCTCGTCGTACAACGTGTGCCTTGAGAGGACCGAGAGTCGGCGTTTACGGGGAAGTGCGCAAGCGCAGCGGCGACGAGGTTAGATCGATAACGATTTCATGCGCGTATTTACGGAATGGAGGAAAGAGAGAAATTAACGAGAATAAGGAAATAAAGAAAACTCTCACCGTTCTCGCTTTCAACTGATCCTCGGTCCGGTGAACGTTTAGCAGAGGCGCCACTTTCACGTACAATCTCCACCAGGGCCACTCGCGCACCGACATCAGCTTCCTCACGTTCCTCTGGATGCACCTGACCGCCAAATCTTGGAGCTGAAAATGACGAGACTCATGTTTGACATTGACGTGGCAGCGGTGACGTGAAATTGTTGATGCTGCGAAGCTTCGGCGGTAAGCGGAAGGGATCGTCGTCGCGCGATCCTCCTTTCGCGTATTTATAAATTTCAGATGATATACGAGGCAAATACTTTCTAACGCCCAAGGGCATTCACAAGCTTACGACGAAGCGATTATAAGGATAATCATCGTGCGATTGTTGAAAAAAATCATTAAGCAGGCGAATAATCGAGCTCTCGGATATTTGCTTTTCATTTGTCTCGCACTTTCAATTTCAATCTCTCTCACTTTCAACTTTCAACTTTGCCGAGCATTAATAATAATCCCCGCAAATTGGCGAATTTGAAAGCCGCTAATGATTACGAGATCATTTTTATTTACTTTTACGAAGCGAGAGAAATTTGATTTACGTATAGTGAAAATACATTATCCGTGGTTAAATGCGAATTAAATTCTCTATGACTTGACGAAATATAATCGATGCACTTAACTTTTTGTATCTAAACGAGTTTAGATTGCAATTTTGAGAGTTAAAAGAGGCCGAAGTGCTCAATTCGCACGAAGGACGACTGTCTGTAAAGTAAAATATGCCGCTTTCATTCACAATCGATAAATCGTGCAAAACCAAAGCAGCAATGAAAATTCAACGGAAAGTTAAATAAAATTAAATAAAAGGATCTAAAGGTCGCGATCGGAAAACAAGTTTAACGAAAAACATTATCAATACAGTGGGCGGCCGACTGCTTATAAATCTGCAAATTTGTCTTTTTCCTCGACTGTAAAGCGAAAAGTCGTCGAGAAAAAAAGCTACCGGATATCCAACGGCAAGACTGCGATAAGATAATAAAATTACAGAAACGCCGTGTCGAATTTCTTGGATACATTGAAAATAAAGAAATCCAGAACGTACCTTGAGCGTGTTGAGTTTCCGGCGCGCGAGGTAACCCCTGCATCTCGCCTGCAGCAGAATAATATGTCCCGTGAGTTTCTCATCCCTCTGAGACTCGAGTCGCTCGAGCGCACCAGTCCGGAAAAATATCTGTCCAAACAGAGTAAGAAGATGGGAAAAAATTAGCTCAGTCTTCGTGGTTCGCGGTTTTCGGATGCGGTGTACGTCGGAATCCGATATATATATATATATATGTGTGTGTGTGTGTGTGTGTGTGTGTGTGTGTTTGTGTGTTTGTGTGTGTGTGGTTGGAAGGGGATTGAGCGACGAGGGGCTCGAGGGGTGATCGATGGGGGGGCGTAGCGAGTCGCTGAGGCATCATTTGGCTGTCGGCGGCTGCCGATGTACAAGTGTCGCGATTTATACCTCGCAAAGCGAATGTCAAATCATTTTTATTGCCAAATGAGCGTGAGCGAGACACCCATCAATCCCTCATTAACTTATCGTCTCTTTTAAAAATTTCCAATACAACGTTTCCCGAGCATTGACTACTACTTGCTACTATTTACAAATGAAAAAGTCTATACGTAACTCACTACCAATAACTACTACATACACACACGCGGGAGCACAGAGCTATATATATATATATATGTCTGTGTGCGCGTGCGCGCGCGCGCGTGTGTGTTTATATGTGGATAATGAGCAATAGAGTAGATAGCAATGAGGTGTCTTTTATTTCTAGTCCAATTCAATAATCTGAAACCACTGCATTAGCTTCAATTGCCGGCCATTGCTAATTAATAACTTGTTTTATGTACATTGCTTTAACAGCTTTATAAATGCAATTTTATAATATAATGGTGTTATTTGCACTAGAAACGTCCTCTTTGTAAAAGTATATACTGCGCAATAAAATTATACAATTCGTTCGATTCTGTTTGTAAATGATAATTACGTAAGCCTAGAGTTACTCGTTATCCACTTTAAATAATACAATAAATAGTTTGTTGGCACATAATTTCACTTTCGTTATTATATACCATTAAATAATCTTGATTAAATTAGAATTGAACAAAAAAAATTGCTGTTTTCGAATCAGGTATATTTTGATTAGGCTTAAATATCTCGAATGTGAAGGACGAATGGGGAAATTATGACGAAGGTGTTTTAAGTTTTTATCTAATTGCTCGGTTATATTAAGATAATCATCTGTATTAGATCCAGAATGATATTAGTACATACATAATTGCTAAAAAATTACCGGGCTAACAAATTTAATTGCATTATTCGAGCGTTCTAGGCAAAATTGGGATTACGTCGAATAATCAATCAATCGTCAATTATACTTCGGACGATTTATTATGACAATAAGCCTTGGGGAATATTTTATTAAAACTAAGAATTGATTGTTTGTCCTGCCTATGATGGCCCTTATTAATACATCTGACAATTATCGTCTCAATATTTCCAATGAATCAAGTATTTATTATTTATCTATATTAATATTTCACATTCATAGATATTCCATAAAAATTAACCACTGACTCCGATTTATAATACAAAACTACGGCTACTTTATCTAATTAATGCCATAAATGCCTGTCGTTTCATCCGAGCATATTGAATTTTACGAAAATAAATAAGAGTCTGAAAAATGAAAGTACATTGAGGAAAATGAGGTCAGTTGGCACGTTTAGTTCGTAGAGCTTGAAAAAGAGTCACATAGAAAAATACGTCGATCCAATATCGATCTAAGAAGTTTAACGCGCTCTTCAAAGATTATCATTCCTTAAAATTTAATGCACGTTTTATTTGTTCATTAAAATTCGAAGGACTATTGGCCGAGTATCGTTACTTGCCTATTTGAATTTGCGATTATAATTAATGGCTACGTAGAGAACCGCAAGCTGTATTCAGCACTGGTGACGTTTGTTCTATAAGGCTTGTTTGTCAATTGTCATTTTTAGTTTAAAATAAGTTTTTGCAAATTGCCAAGCTTTCTGCCACTTTTCAAATACCAAGACATCTAATATTCAACAGCATCGCGTGCATTTGGAATTACCATTCGGCCTCAATAAAAAACGGCATCTTACAACGACTCCCGCCGATAAAAAGAAACGCACGATCTCCATAACGGATTAATAAGATAAAAAAGAAAACATCGCGCCGATATCGAATTACGCTCTCCAAATGAGATTTGTCTAATAGTAGTCGAGCGAGCGAGTGGGACAGCGAACGTGAATAGAACTTAATTTACCGAGAGCAGCAGCAACACGCGTCACGACCGTTATAATGACGCCGGCTAAGATCTTTGAGAGCGGAGTCCCGGGGGACTCGAGGGAGAGTCGATCCCAGGCGCCGCGTGCAATTGTCGCGACCAGCGGGAGGAACGAACACACGCAAAGACACAAAGACGCGCATGCGCACTATTGCCCCAGCTAAAGTTGGTGGATACGAGTGGGACGATCGTTTTATAGTGATTTTCATCTTTGAATTAATGAGGCGTTCTTGCACGATTTTGCGTAATGTATACAATAGCCGATTTCACGAGAGCGCTGCCTGACTAAGAGCTCAGCTCTAATGAGAGAGCAGAGGCAACGCACGTTTTCAGAAGAATTTATAAGTTTACTCTTACAACTCCTAGCTATTAAGACCTTAAAAGTAATTAGAAGCAATAAGGCTCGATATCGGTGGTAAAAAGAAAAAAAAACTTTCCATTACGGCACTTCTGCATGCGGTTTTTATATTTATTTATTTAATAATAATATTAATAACCATCACAATACTTCGGGCGTCGAGAATATTGTGATTAAAATTTTAAATTTTAGTCACAATATTTATTAAAAATTTCTTCTTAATATTTTTATCATATAAAACTTCATCTACGATGTATAATATCCCATGATAATGATGTTGAAAGAAAAAAAAATAAAGAAAAAACTTTTTATTCACATTGTCTTTGAAATTTGTACATCGGCAAATAGGAAAATAAATTTTTAATCTCAAACTGTAATAGAAATATGATGAAATTTTTAATGAAATAACAGACAAATGAAATCACAAGCAGCGATAAATTCAAATACACCCTTATTTGTATTAAAAAATTTCTTCCTTACGATCAAATAATAAAATTTGGAAAGCAAAAGAAACATTAAGTTTACATATTGCACAGATCGAGTGTAAATGAATAATATTCATTGATTATTATTTTGTGATTAATAGAGATCGTCGATAAAAGTAGTTTATCACATATATATAATTGCATGAATAATTTTGCCTTCACTATATTGTGGAATTCTTAAAAAATGCGCGCTACTTATGTAAATTTTTAGATATATAGAGTTTTTAATAAGATATAAGAAACATCGATAACAATGATTAGAAGCTGATAAGTAATTTGATTTATCATTATTCGAATACTTTTCGTTTAAGCGTTGAATCCTAAGCAGTGAGCTAATTTATTTATATGTATTAAATGGATGATTCGAAACTTGCACGTAAAAAAGCTTATATATAACGAAGAATCCTACAATTATGCTATATAATTACGTACTCTTAATGCCATAAAGTAATGACATAAAAATTATGGGATTATTTCCATTGAGTCTATTCAATATACTCGCAATATATGATATTATTATATTAATACTTTTTACGCGTAAAAATACTTAAAAAATATAATGCAACAATTGCATTTTCTTGAAACTATACGGCTCCACTTTACCCATTGATACAAATGTTGACCAATAGATTTAAAACAGAAAACAAAAACAAACAAAAAAATAACAGGAAAGAGGGGCGATTTATATTATGAAACATCTTATCAAATACCATCGAGTCTTCGCTAATACATACCGTTCCATTAATTTATCCGACAAACTTATTTCCCATTACTCGTTTAAGAATAATCGAGCAAAAATTCAACAAGCTTATTCTAAATGACAGATAGACTAAAATCTAACGTAATAAAACATTATTATACAAACTACATTATTATTATATAAACATTATTATATTCAAAAATTAGTTGGAAGAATGTTCTGTTTATGCTATTTAAGCTAAAAGACACTGATGGTTTACGATACTCGTATTTGTAATAAATGGCAAAGTATTGACATTATTTCGATTGATCTAAGTATCGAATATTCTTAACAATGCGTATTGTGCACTTGGATGGATGGACATGAAAGTCGTGTTGTGTTGTCAGATGAGTTGCTCAGGCTCGGCAGAAGGAGACAATTATAAACATAAATTCTAATAGTACTTGGAACGTTTAAATAACGAAATGAAGCAGAAGAAACTCTGTACCAACAATAGATGTCAGCAGGTAATAATATTGCGCGACAACACATGATATGGTGAAAGCAGTCAAGAAAGTTACTTTTTTCTTCTTCTTTTTTTCCTTTTTTTTCTTTTTTAATGCGAAATTCTTTCTCATGCGATATAAGTACTTTTAATATCTCATCAGGAGTACCATTGTATTTTACTTGGGTTAATTTTTGTGTCATTAACGCGGGTTCTATAATAATTTAATATCTTCTATAATAATTATCTTGAAGTAGCATCTTTTTACAATTTAAAAAATTGATTAGGTAGTTTTTCCTCGCAAATAAACGACATAAAAATATTCTAAGGTAAATATAGCGCACAGCTTAAAAATTATATTAATTTACATTAACTGCTTAAGTAATTTATAACATACAATTATAGAATATTGATTCAACATTAAAAATGTTTATAAAATTTAATTAATATATAACACTTTTCCGGAGGAAAATATTTCAGAAAAGACTGCATAAAAATGAATTACATTATTGTTACAACAGATGATAATTTTACTTAAATTAATCCGAAAAGTCGGTAAATATTGTATATTAAAAATTAAAGTGCATATTATTTCTGTAATAAGGATAAAATGTAAAAGTTATAATATATAATTATATAAAACAATTATTCTCGGAGCATAAAAAATCAATTAATTGCTGTATTATATGCGGGTACGCGTGTGCACGCTCACACGCAGAGATATTTTTATAAAATTTTCTTATTTCAACAGTACGGGACTTTTTATCATTGTACCAAATAAATAGTACTTGAATGTTTCAAAGTAATTGAAATAATTTGTTTAATGTATAATACTTTCGAAT